CTGGTTTTGAAAAACCGAATTTTTTCAAGCATGTTGTTTCTTTATCACACCCCTTTGGGCACCCATTGGTGAAAAAAAATATTTTTGGGTAATTTACTGGTTTCTGGTGGTGGATTTATTATATTTGATACCCTCTAATATACAATGAATGAAGGACTTTCTGTTTCCATTTAGAGTTGCTCTTTAAGCCCCTCTAAGTCCTAAATCAAGACTGAAATCATAATGAAAATCAAATCACATGAGAGCCATGATCACAAGGTTTTCAAAGGATTTTTTTAACCAAAATTAAGATCTGAGAGATTTAAATTAAATCCTGTGAGGGTTGTAAATTGTGATGGGAAGTCATCCAATGTCTGAGTTTAACTTAAGTCCAATGTAGTGTATGCTGTGAGCTGTTGCATGTCAACTGCCACCAGTTGCTTGAACTTTTCTTATAGTGCAGGGTGTGTTGTGTGAAATCAGCACCCTGTGAAACAGAATTGTAAAGATTATTGGATTTCTGTTTGACTGGAAATCCAAGCCACTAATAAAACACAATATTGGACTGGACCTAGAGCCAATATGGTGACTGAATTGGTTTCAAGATGCATATGGTAAAGTTAGATGTCCATCTGAATTGTTGAGTTGTTTCATTGTTGGATAATATGATCAAAATGTTCTGAAACTCTCTTCCCCAATTTGAATAATGTTTCTTCCATCAAGTGACTTCTAAGATGTTGTGGTGAGCCAAATCAAAGCATTCATAGCCCAGACATGCAGGAAAATAGGACTCTACAGATCATCTGGAGGACTCACTAGACAAGGATCACTGCTCATTTAAAAAATGGGACAAAGAACATCCTCCAAGAGAGCCAGGGTACCAGCAACTCCTGTGGATTCTCATGTCTAAGCTCTCAACTTTACACCTGTTATTGCTTTTACATGTAAAACCCCACCACACCCCAATTGGTACCTGGTTTGAAGCTATCCCTGGCACTAGGCTTTTCTTATCTTCTCAGTTTCACACTAATGCAGGTTATTGACCTGCTTGAAAATGGATATTGCCCCATTCCTTCTTTAATTGTTAACTCCAACTCCTGTTATGGGGGGTTGGAATTAGTTTGATGACTTCTAAAAAATAAAAATAAATTATTATAAAATTGGGACATCAACTCCCTTTTTTGGAGTTGGGATTAGTCCAATGATTCCCAGGAACAGGGTTCTGGTCCAGCAGGGGCCCAGAGGTGGTCCACGAATGGCCCTCTTGATTCCTTCCAACATTTGGGAGCTGTATAACCAACGGTGGGCCGCTACACTAACCGTAGCTGTTAGTGTAGCGTAACTCAGCGGAATTCCCGTTAGCGTTAAGCATAGTGTAGTGGAATTCCGCCACGACACCGCTAAAACTACGTGTGTGGGCCGCAAAAAAGGGCCCACTACGCTAAACGACAGCGGTTTTTAGCGGTTTTTAGCCGCTTTTCCGCTAA